CAAAGCTGTTGAAAGTAAAGCATGTTCAACACACAGAATCAATTTCTCCTGGCGATAGGGCTGATCTCAGGGAACGTGTTGGGAGACTAGCCCCTGAACATCAGAAATACTGTACTTTATTGGTCAAATGGGATTGGACGCACAAGGGATTCTGTCTCCGGTGCAGAAGCGGTCAGCGTACAAGCAAGCAACAGAGCAATAATAATCGTAGTACGATAGCAATAAGAGGGGGCAGTAGAGCAGTTGAGAAGGATAATAATAATAATAATAATAATAGTGCTACAGCCATCCTACAGGGGCGAATATCCTTAGAGATAAGACAGCACTGTGAGGATGAGGTGTGTAGCAGAGGGACGGCATTGGGCAGAAAACACTCCTTGGGTCTAGTTCAGTGATGGCGAACCTCTTAGAGACCGAGTGCCCCAAAAACTGGCCCTGCCCCTGCTGCACCCCCCCATACCCCACCCCGCCTGCCCACAGGACCACTCACCGCCTCCAGGGCCCGCCGCAGGCAGCCCAGCAGCACTATGGCAGCCACGCCCTTTCCCCGCGCCCTGCAGCATCAACTGCATGATGGGGTGTGTGGACATAGTCTTGTCTACGCGGCCCGGCTGCCATGTCCTTGGCTGCGCTGCTCCGTGTGGGCCACGCTCGGGGGCGACTCTCCTTCAAGGGGGCTGCTGGAGAGGAGGGGGTCGCGGGGGGAGGCAAGGCTGGAGCAACGGCACGTGTGCCTACAGCAGTGGTTCTCAACCTGTGGGTCGGGACCCCATTTAGGGTCGAACGACCATTTCACGGAGTCGCCAAACAACACAGTCTGCCATTTTTTTCCCCTCTTTTCCTTAGCTGTGCTACTCCCTTTTATTCTATTGGCTTTTGAAAGCCAATAGAATAGACTCTCTTGAACAGAGTCTAATTCTATTGGCTTTCCAAAGCCAATAGGAATTGTCCAGGCTGTCTCTGCCCTGCTGAGCCCGCCAAAAGTCCCAGTCTGCAAACGGTGCTGCACCAGTTGAGTCGTCCTCGACTTACGACCGGTTGGGGGGGTCACAGCATTAAAAAGGTTGAGAACCACTGGCCTATAGGGAGGGCTCCGAGTGCCACCTCTGGCACCCGTGCCATAGGTTCGCCACCACTGGCCCTCTAGCGCTATCTGGAAGGGAGGAGCTAAAACAATTTGTGTCCAGGATGTGACCCGAGATTTTACAGTTCCCTAAGCGATTATTTTATAATAAACTGCATCAGAATAAAGTATAACTATACTCCATAGACATCTCCAGACAGATTAAATTGCCAGATTAAAGCAACTGCCTGCGCAGCTACAGATCAGGGGTATCCAACCTTGGCAGCGTTGAGACTTGTGGACTTCCACTTCCAGAATTCCCCCGCCAGCGTATAAAGTCCCCAAGTTAAAGTTGCCGAGTTATGCAGACGATTGCTTTAGACTGGCAAGATTCTGTCTGTAGGCGAGCAGCGATTAAAAAAACAGCAACTGCTCAGCAACAACTCCGGGTGTCGCTCTTGGTTCTTTGGGCCTGACACGAATGTAAACTGCCACGCAAAATAAACAACACCTAAAACGAATGTAAGATCTAACTTTTCCTCCCTTGTCCCTCTCCCCTTATGCTTAGAAAGTTGCAACGGCCGGAATTCCTTGGAATCGCTCAAAACGTCCCGGTCTGAATCTGCTCGCCTGAAGCCACCTTTGCAGGATGACCCAGATTCCCCTCCCGGAAGCAAGGCTTTGGGGCAGGTTGAGGCGGCTTCCAGGGGTCCGGCCCTTTCCCCCCAAGATTTACCTCAGCGTAAGGGAATCCTAGAAAGCAGCCCCTCCCCATCACCCCCTCTGCATCTGGCCCAAAAGGAAGAAAGTTTTGTCCCGCTGACTGGCGAAGTAGATTACAGCTTCCTTCAGGAATTAACATTCGAGCACGCTTCCAAACGAGACTTGCCCGATGCCCCAAAAACCATCTTTGGGAGAGCTGGTCAGCTTCTTCCGGGAAAGCCGCTGATTAAAGAGAAGCGGGCAGCGGACCAGCCCAGGGTGCCAAGGGCCCACCTGATCAGCAGTTTGGATGTTCTTTGGGCCAAGTATTTGGGGCGGCAGAACCAGCAGCAGCTGAAGCCCGTCGACAGCGGCCACAGAACCGAGCTATCGCTGGTGGAACGGTTGGACCGCCTGGCCAGGCTCCTGCAGAATCCCCTTCGGCATTCCCTGGCCCTTGCCTTGGAGGATCAAAAGGACAGCCGGAAGGAGCCCAGGAGGAGAGCGCCCAGCCTCGACGGCGCTCGAGACCCAAAAATGGCGGCCAGGAAGAAAGCGGCCTCGCGGCCCGGCCTCGAAACGGCAGAGGAGGCTCCCGTTGGCCCCAGCGGCGCCTGGCCTTCCAAATCCAGGCGTCCGAAAACCGGACACGCCAAGGCTGTTGAACCCGGGGATAGAAACTGGGACCGGTCGCAGAGCCCCGAGACTGCGAGCGAGACGTCTTCCGACGTGAGGCCGGCGAGAGAGGCCAGCGTGACAACTGAGGCGACCTCCGAGTCTGAGGGGAATCGGGCAGAAACCGAAAGCGCCACGCAGACCGAGACGAGCGAGTCCGTGTCCACCATCAACACAGCCAGGTTGATCCGAGCTTTCGGGCAGGAGAGGGTGCAGGTGTCCCCCAAACTGTCCCAGCTCTACAGCACCATCGACTTGCAGAAGACTCGCTCGGAGACCTGGGCCAAGCGGGGCAAGAAGGCCAAGGGGGACGGCTACCCAAAGATGGTTCACCTAGAACAAAAAAGAAAAGAGGGTCAGGTAGGTGAATTGACGGGTGACTCGCTTCTCGCCATTCTGGGATTTACGTATTCTAGAGTCGCCTCCCCCAATCTGGGGTCCTGGCAGGCAGATAAGCCATTGTGCTTGGGGGTGCTTGGTGCTCTCTGAGCTTGGTGGATTTCTTGCAGATGTTTCATGACCCAGTTAGGTCAACATCCAGGACCTCGTCCTCCTCCTCTGCACTCCCTTCTAGCACTGATAATGTTAGCTAGTTGGGTCATGAAACGTCTGCAAGGAAACTACCAAGCTCAGAGAGCATCAAGGACTCCACAGTCGTCATCGTCGTCGTCGTCCTCCTCCACCTCCTCGTCCTCTTCCTCCTGTCTCCCCCTCCTCCTCCTCCTCCTCTTTGCAAACCCCACTCCCTTCTAGCACTGATGATGTTACCTAGTTGGGAAATGAAATGTCTGCAAGGACCCCACAGTCCTCCTCCTCCTTCTCCTCCTCTTCCTCCTCCTCCTCCTCCCTACAAACCCCACCCTCTTCTAGCACTGATGATGTTACCTAGTGGGGTAATGAAATGTCTGCAAGGACCCCACAGTCCTCCTCCTCCTTCTCCTCCTCTTCCTCCTCCTCCTCCTCCCTACAAACCCCACCCTCTTCTAGCACTGATGATGTTACCTAGTGGGGTAATGAAACGTCTGCAAGAAAACCATCAAGCTCAGAGAGCACCAAGGATCCCACAGTCGTCGTCCTCCTCCTCCCTCCCTCCCTCCCTCCCTCCCTCCCTCCCTCCCTCCCATGTGGAACCATGAATTGTAACCAGAAAACAAGCTGTTGCAATTCATTTGGTGGCACCCATCATTTCCCCTTCTCGCCTTTACCGCAAGCCGAGTAAAAATCAACTTGGTTTTCTGTTTTTGTTTTTCTGTTTTTGTAAAGAAAACATAAATGTGACAAATTTTGCAATCGCCGTTTGCTGTATTACGAAGAAAAGAATACTGTGCTTCATTGGCAGGGTGTTGAAGCAACAGCAGCCGTATTTACGTAACGCGAGATTTGGATAATTGGCTCCATTTTTTTTAAAAAAATCCTGGACAGAACGATTTCCCCCAAAGCAAGATTGATTTTTTTTCTCTCCTGAAAGAGATGTCTTCCGGCCTTTTCGTTTGCCGATCGATTATATCAATTAAGCAGGAGCAATTATTAAAGAGAACAGTTCGGCGGCCTGTTCAACACCAACGTGCACAGCTGTTCCTGGGTGGAAGCCGACCCAGGAAAAATTGGGAGGCTGCTAACATCTGTTTCTCTCCCACTGCCACCCTTTTACAAGTACTCCTCAACTTAACACCACAGCTAAGCCCCCCCCCTCTCCTCCTCCTCCTCCATGCAAGCCCCACTCTCTTCTAACATTGACGATGTTGCCTAATTGGGTCATAAAAACGACAGCAAGAAAACCACCAAGCTCAGAGAGCATCCAGGACCCCACAGTCCTCTCCCCCTCCTCCAACTCCTCCTCCTCCTCATCCCTGCAAACCCCACTCCCTTCCAGCACTGATGATGTTACCTAGTTGGGTCATGAAACATCTGCTAGAAATCAGCCAAGCTCAGAGAGCACCAAAGACCCCACAGTCGTCGTCGTCTTCCTCCTCCTCCTCTTCCTCCTTCTCCTCCTTCTTCTTCTTCTTCTTCCTCCTCCCCTCTCTTCCTCCTCCTCCTCCTCCTCCTCCTCTTCCTCCTTCTCCTCCTCCTCCTCCTCCTCCTCTTCTTCTTCTTCTTCTTCTTCTTCTTCTCCTTCTCTTCCTCCTCCTCCCGCTCCTCCTCCTCCTCTTCCTCCTTCTCCTCTTCTTCTTCCTCCCCTCTCTTCTTCCTCCTCCTCCTCCTCCTCTTCTTCTTCTTCTTCTTCTTCTTCTTCCCCTCTCCTCCTCCTCCTCCTCCTCTTCCTCCTCCTCCTCCTCCTCCTCTTCCTCCTCCTCCTCTTCTTCTTCTTCTTCTTCTTCTTCTCCTTCTTCTCTTCCTCCTCCTCCTCCTCCTCCCGCTCCTCCTCCTCCTCTTCCTCCTTCTCCTCTTCTTCTTCTTCTTCCCCTCTCTTCCTCCTCCTCCTCCTCCTCCTCTTCCTCCTCCTCCTCCTCTTCTTCTTCTTCTTCTCCTTCTTCTCTTCCTCCTCCTCCTCCTCCTCCCGCTCCTCCTCCTCCTCTTCCTCCTTCTCCTCTTCTTCTTCCTCCCCTCTCTTCTTCTTCCTCCTCCTCCTCCTCCTCCTCCTCCTCCTCTTCTTCTTCTTCTTCTTCTTCTTCTTCTTCTCCTTCTCCTTCTCCTTCTCCTTCTCTTCCTCCTCCTCCTCCTCCTCCCCTCCTCTTCCTCCTAAACTCCCGTCCCTTCTAGCACTGATAATGTTACCTAGTTAGGTCATGAAACATCTGCAAGAAATCAGCCAAGCTCAGAGAGCACCAAAGACCCCACCGTCCTCCCCCCCTCCTCCTCTCCTTCTCTTCATCCTCTGAACTTTGACCTTCTGATTCCTTTTAGGCCAGCCCCACTTTCGTCTCCTCCGATTCCGTCTCCAGCCTCAGCAGCTCTCCGGGGCCGAGCCCGGCGCTCAGCAGCAAACGGATGCTCAACAAGGCGGTTCAAGCCGGTGAGTTGCTGCGCTGCGGACTCCGGCCGTCGTTATCCGAAGCCGTGTTTTTTTTTTTTTGCAGAGCCTTTAATCCCCCACCGTTTCACCCAGGAGCGTGAAGTCGAGTTCAAAAGCCTAATAATCCCTTTTGTGCCCTGACCCTTTTCAATTCTTCCGAGTCTGCCTTCCGAGCGGAAAACTGACTCGGGGTCGAGTCGAAACCGCCTTCACAGAAGCTTCAGTTCCTCGGCTGAGCGGCTTTGAGGCTGATCCTCTCTCGGCTTCGTCTCCTTGAAATGTCGGTTCTTTTGTGTTCCGAACATAACAGCAGTGGCCAAGATTGTGGAAACCTTTTGGGAAAAGCGTACAGTAGAAATGCCACCTTTGGTTCAGTTTCCACCCATTTTTTCCTTCTCATTTCTTTATAACGGTAGCCTTGTTCCCTTAATAACACTCTTTTGCATCGCTTTCTGGGCAACCAGTCAACTCTTGGCACCGTTGCTTTAATTTTATTACGTTTTGCGAGCTCACCAAACGAAAGGACGCCCCAAAACCCAACCAACTCGATGGCGATCACATAACACACTTTTTTTTCCTCATTCTTATTTTTATTAAATTTTTTTTCCTCATCAACATATGTTAATTTTTCCAATCAACAAGTTGTCTGGAGTTTGTTAAGCTAATACATGTTCAATTCCTAATCCTTCATTCTTTCGCATAACACACTTTTGATTTAAGTCCCAAGGGTTAATCTCTGTGGGGTCCTTGGGGCCCGCTGGGCTTGGTCGTTCTTTTGCAGACATCTCATGACCCAGCTAGGTTATATCATCAACGCTAGAAGGGAGCTGAGTGGGCTCTGTTTATATACACGCGGCTTGCCCTGTCAGTGCTGGACGGAGGTTCCTTGATTAGACTGTGGTTTGTCTGGGTTGATAGTCCCTCCTACCAAGTTCCTTTAACTCCGCAAGGAAGTCCAAGACAAGAAACCCCACTCCCCTCTTTCATGGATGATGTAACCTGGTTGGGTAATGAAATGTCTGCAAGGACCCCACAATCCTCCTCCTTTCCCATCCTCCTCTCTGCAAACCCACCTCCCTTCTAGCACTGATGATGTTACCTAGCTGGGTCATGAAACGTCTGCAAGGAAACCACCCAGCTCAGAGAGCACCAAGGACCCCACAGTCTCCTCCTCCTCCTCCTCCTCCTCCTCCTCCTCCTCCTCCTCCTCCTCCTCCTCCTCCTCTTTGCAAACCCCACTCCCTTCTAGCACTGATGATGTTACCTAGTTGGGAAATGAAATGTCTGCAAGGACCCCACAGTCCTTCTCCTCCTCCTCCTCCCTGCAAACCTCACGCTCTTCTAGCACTGATGATGTTACCTAGTAGGGTAATGAAACGTCTGCAAGAAAACCACCAAGCTCAGAGAGCACCCAGGACCCCACAGTCCTCCTCCTCCTCCGCCTCCTCACCCTTCTAGCACTGATGATGTTATCTAGCTGGGTCATGAAATGTCTGCAAGAAAACTACCAAACTCAGACAACACCAAGGGACCCCACAGTCCTCCTCCTCTCCCTTTCCCTCTTCCTCCTCCTCCTCCTCCTCCTCCTTCTCTCTCTCTCTCTCTCTTTCAGTTGAAGCCGATGAGTCATAAAAGAGCCAAGGTTGGCTACCCTGGTATAGAACGATTTCCAAATTACGTTAATTACTAATAAGAGAGACGGGCATATTTATGATTGGTTCTCGTGTAACGGAGCAATTTTTGCTAAATTAAGCTTCCCGGTTTCTTTCGTGTATTGTATTTATTTAGGTTTGATTTTTCCCCTTCCAGACAAGCATTTGAGATCGTGTCTCGTCTTTCATTTCTGGGTTGAATGAATTGCCCTCCAAGCCAGCACATTCAGATAAATTTCATAATTATTAGCTGGCCTGTCAGGCTCTTTCTGAACTTCATTCTTCTGCAATACAGTCACATTTTCCCCAGCTCTTTGTAAATCTGCACTAACGGCAGCTCTTTGTTTCTGCCAAAGAGTGGGAACGAAAGATACAAATTCCGCTTTTAGATCTGCATTCAGTCACCTCCCACCGCCTTGAATAATTTTAGTGCAATTTCAGAATGCCGCACGGACAAATGGAGAAGGAAACGCAGGGTTTTTAAATTCATTTGTCCTCGACTAACGATCGCAAGGGAGCCCAGCGCTTTGTCGCTAAGTGAAGCAGTTTGTTAAAGGAGATTTGCCCCATTTTACGGCCTTTCTCACCATAGTTGTTAAGCGAAGCCTTGTGGTTAAGCAAGTCACATGGTCGTTAAGCACATCGGGCTTCCCCCAATGACTTTGCTTGCGAGAAGGTCGCAAAAGGGGGCATCACGTGACTTTGGGACACTGCGACCGTCATAAATGCGAGTCGGTTGCCAAGCGTCTGAATTGTGATCACGTGACCAAGGGAACACTGCATAAGTGTGAAAAAGGGTCACAGGTACCTTTTTTCAGTGCTTTTGTAAGTTTGGTCACTAAACAAATCGTTGTAAGCTGAGGATTAACTATAGGTGCTAACTGTTAGTTGAGAAGAGCTTTACCCCTCGGCTTTTTAGCGATAGCGAATTAGACCTTCCCGTGTGGATCTGGCCTTTTGTGCCTGACACCCTCTGGTTGATTTTTATTGTGCTTGTAGAATAGAAATAGAATGGAATAGAAAATAGGATAGGATAGGATAGAATAGTAGAATAGAATTTAGAGTAGAGTACAATAGAGTACAATAGAAATAGAATTAATAGAACAGAATAGAATACAATATAATAGAGAATAGAATAGAATAGAATAGAATAGAATAGAATAGAATAGAATAGAATAGAATAGAATAGAATAGAATAGAATAGAATAGAATAGAAAATATGGAATGGAATGGAATGGAATAAATATTGGAATATAGACTAGGCTAGGATAGGATGGGATGGGACAGGACCGGACCGGACCGGACGGGATGGGACAGAACAGAACGGAACAGAACAGAATAGAATAGAATAGAAAATATGGAATAGAATAAATATTGGAAAACAGAACAGAACACAATAGAATAGAATAGAATAGAATAGAATAGAATAGAATAGAATAGAATAGAATAGAATAGAATAGAATAGAATATGGAATGGAACAGAAAATAGAATAGAATAGAATAGAAATATAGAATAGAACAGAAAATAGAATAGAATAGAAAATAGAATAAAATATAGAATAGAACAGAAAATAGAATAGAAAATAGAATAGAATAGAAAATAGAATAGAATATAGAATAGAATAAAAATAGAACAGAAAATAGAATAGAAAATAGAATAAAATAGATAATAGAATAGAATAACAGAGGTGGAAGGGACCTTGGAGGTCATCTAGTCCAACCCTCTGCTCAGGCAGGAAACCCTATACCATTTCAGACAAATGGCTGTCCAGTCTCTTCTTAAAAACCTCCAGTAGTAGAGCATTCACAGCTTCTGGAGGCAAGCAGTTCCACTGGTTAATTGTTCTCACTGTCAGGAAGTTTTTCCTTAGTTCCAAGTTGCTTCTCTCCTTGATGAGTTTCTATCCGTTGCTTCTTGTCCTGCCTTCAGGGGCTTTGGAGAATAGCTTGACTCCCTCTTCTTTGGTGCAGCCCCTGAGATAATGGAAGGCTGCTATCCTGTCCCCCCTCGTCCTTTTCTTCATTAAACTAGACATCCCCAATTCCAGCCACTGTTCCTTATATGTTTCAGCCTCCAGTCCTTTAATCATCTTTGTTGCCCTGTTGCTAGCATTACCTTCCCTGGTTCTTCCCCCCCCCCATCCCAAAAGGGTTCCCGCAAGGCCCCTTGACCCACAGCAGCACCCAAGGTTGTCGCTGCATCGGGGGGTACAAGCTGCATTGTCCTTTGACTCCCCAGGAGACTTTGAGATTGTGAACAGCGCAACCAAGAGCAACACCCGCGATGTGGGCTTGACTTTCCCCACCCCGACCCCGAGCCAAGCCACGCTGCACGGAGGGGCTCGGAGCAGGACGGAGCAGCGGTCGGCTCAGCACGATGGGCTCTCGGCGGGAGACGAGGACCAGCCCAAGTGGCAGCCAAGCAGCATCCTGGAAGGCAAGAGGCCCAGAAGGAGCCGGTCGCAGTGGATGCAAGGTCTCTGCAAATGTGTGTGTCGTGTGTTTGTTGGGGATTGTGTCGCTTTGGGCTGCGTCGCAAAAGCCAGTGCGGTGCAGGGCCAAAGCTGCTGGACTGGAAAACCAGGCGACGGTGAGTTCTAGTTTTCAGACAGGTTGACGGGCCAGGACCGGGGATTGGCAGTGAGGGGTTCCTGCCTCTCAGCAGCCCGCGGATTCAGGCGGAAGGTTTTACGACGGGCAGCCTCGTTCTAGACCAGCGCTTTCCAACTTTGGCCCCTGATAAGAGAAGAGAAGACAAGATAAGATAACCTTTATTGTCATTTTCTTACTGTGGGCACAACGGCACACATCAAAAATGAGATTTAGTTGCCTGCTCTCAGAGTGAAACACATACATGACCCACACCTAAACATACTATGTACAGCAGACGTATAGATCCACACCCCTACATATACAAAGCAAATAAATATTAAATACTGTCCATCTTGAATACATAATGCAGTGGTTCTCAACCTTTTTAATGACGCGACCCCCAACTGGTCGTAAGTCGAGGACTACTCAACCGGTCGTAAGTCGAGGACTACTCAACTGGTGCAGCACCGTTTGCAGAATGGGACTTTTGGCGGGCTCAGCAGGGCAGAGACAGCCTGGACAATTCCTATTGGCTTTTGAAAGCCAATAGAATTAGACTCTATTCAAGAGAGTCTATTCTATTGGCTTTCGAAAGCCAATAGAATAAAAGGGAGAAGCACAGCTAAGGAAAAGGGGGGGAAAAAAATGGCGGACTGCGTTGTTTGGCGACCCCCGTGAAATGGTCGTTCGACCCCAAATGGGGTCCCGACCCCCAGGTGGAGAACCACTGACATAACGGAAGGAGGAAGCTTGAGAGTTCATAAGGTTAATGCTGTATGGGATGAAACTATGGCTGAATCTGGATGTTCTGCTTCGGATACCACAAAGCCCCCTCCTCCCAGACGTTAACAAGGAAAACAGGTCATGAAAAGGACGTGTCGTGTCCCAGACGATCTTGCGGACCCTGCTCAAGCAACGCTTCTTTGCCACATCTTGGATGGGAGGGCGGGAACTGCCAATGATCTTTTCAACTGTCCTCACCACTCTCTGCACTGCCTTCCTGTCTGAAGCAGGGATGCTTCCAAACCAGACGGTGATGCCGTATGACAGGATGCTCTCGATCGTCTCCCTGTAGAAAGTGGTCAGGACAGGGGAAGGAAGACGTGCTTTTCTCATGCGACGCAGAAAACGCAGGCGCTGCTGTGTCCACTTCGCCAGTGTCTCACTGTTGAGCGACCAAGCCAGTTAGTTGCACACCCAGCAGTTTGATGCTGGTAACCATCTCCACAGGTGAATCCTTAATGCACAGAGAGGTGTGGCTGTGCCTTCAACTCCCAGAATTCCCCAGCCAGCTATGCTCTGTCTGAAAACCTGTTGGACCTTCAGCCCGAATCCGAGGGCCGCTGAGAGGCAGAAGCCTCCCCGTCCCCCCGCCAATCCCCAGCCGTGGCCCATCAGCCATCTTGGCCAGGACCATTGAAACTCACCCCTGCTTTTCTCCTCCTCCCCCCCCTTTCTAGGAGTCTCATGGTTCGTCCCCGCAGCAGATTTCAAACCGGATCCCCTGGAAAGGGCCGGGACTGGCTTCCCGCCCCCTGGCCCTACTCCCGCGTGGTTTGAGCCCCTCCCCAGAGGAAAGCCTTGGCGAGAACCTCTTCGCGAGCAGAACTGGCCGGAACGTCTCGGGGTCCTCCAGGTGCGTCTGGCAGCTCCAGCGAGAGACGCTGAGAACGAGCCTCCCTCACCTTTGGGGCAAATGACCCTGCAGGTAAAATCCAGGCTGCTGGCTCCGTCCCCCTTCCCCGCTCCCTGCCCCCGTACTAGAGATCCCGGCGCCCAGGACCAAGCGCTGCCCCGTTGCCCCTCAGCCTAGTCATACATTCATACGGCTGGAAGGGACCAGAGAGGTCTCCAGCGCCTTAATATACAGTAGTGGCCAAAATGGTGGAAAACTTTTGGGAAAAGTGTACAGTAGAAATGCCCTCTTTGGTTATGTTTCCACCCATTTTTCTTCTAATTTCTTTATAACTGTAGCCTTGTTCGCTTAATAATATAATTTTACATCGCTTTCTGGGCGACCAGTCAACTCTTTGCACCATCGCTTTAATTTTATTAGGTTTTGCAAGCTCACTAAATGAAAGAACACCAAGAAACCCAACCGACTTGATAGCCATCACATAACACACTGACAAATGTCCTCCTCGCAGCTTCAATCCGTGACATCAATCACTGGATCCTACTGTGATCTGATTGGCTCATGGCCAAAATAAGAGGACCCCTAATTGGCTCTCTAAACCAGTGGTTCTCAACCTTTTTAATGCCGCGACCCCCAACCGGTCGTAAGTCGAGGACTACTCAACCGGTCGTAAGTCGAGGACTACTCAACCGGTCGTAAGTCGAGGACTACTCAACTGGTGCAGCACCGTTTGCAGAATGAGACTTTTGGCGGGCTCAGCAGGGCAGAGACAGCCTGGACAATTCCTATTGGCTTTTTAAGCCAATAGAATTAGACTCTATTCAAGAGAGTCTATTCTATTGGCTTTCAAAAGCCAATAGAATAAAAGGGAGTAGCACAGCTAAGGAAAAGGGGGAAAAAAATGGCGGACTGCGTTGTTTGGCGACCCCGTGAAATGGTCGTTCGACCCCAAATGGGGTCCCGACCCACAGGTTGAGAACCGCTGCTCTAAACACTCGTCCTCATTGGCTACAATCGGATGAAGGAAAGCTACCCGAGATCAACCTAAGCAAGTTGTGCTTCCTTTTTGTATTTATTTGGCTACAACGTTTCATAGAATACAGTACTGATAATTGAACAAACTTTGTTGCCTGACGTTCTTGATTAAATTATCTTTCTATTGATATATAATTTTATGGTACTACTCCAAATAAAAGTGGTGTTCTTAGCCATCCAACCTCAAAAATACACTTTTCCCAAAAGGTTTCCAGAATTTTGGCCACTGCTGCAGGTTGTCCTTGACTTAATAACAGTTTGCTTAGTGACCGTTCAAAGTTACGACCGCACTGAAAAAAGTGAGCTACCACCACTTTTCCCTCTTAGCAACTGTTGCGGCGTCCCCCGGGGACAGGAGATCAAAACTTGGATGTTGGGCAACTGGCTCATAGTTATGACGGTTGCTGTGTCCCCAGGGTCACGTGATCCGCTTTGGACAAGCGAAAGTCAGTGGGGAGGACAGATTCACTTAACAACCGTGTTACTGACTTAACGAGTGCAGTGATTCGCTTAGCAACTGTGGCCTGAAACGTCGTCAAACGGAACCAAATGAACGACTGCCTTGCTTAGCTAGGGACATTTTAAACTTTGCAGAGAGGGCTGGCAAGCACTATATGAGTCTAAGAGCTATTCTATTCTATTCTATTTTTTCTATTCTATTCTATTCTGTTCTATTTTTTCTATTCTATTCTATTCTATTCTGTTCCCTATTCTATTCTACTATTTTATTTTCTATTCTATTCTATTCTTGTTCTGTTCTATTCTGTTCTATTCTATTCTTTCTTTGTTCTATTCTATATTCTATTCTATATTGTATTCTATTCTATTCTTGTACTATTCTTGTTCTATTCTTGTTCTACTCTTGTTATATCTTGTTATATTCTATTCTATATTCTATTCTATTGTTCTGTTCTATTCTATTCTTGTTCTGTTCTGTTCTATTCTTTTCTTGTCCTATTCTATTCTATTCTATATTTTATTTCTATTTCTGTTCTATTCTATTCTATGTTCTATGTTCTATTCTATATTCTATATTCTATTCTGTTCTATTCTTGTTCTACTCTTGTTATATTTCTATTCTATATTCTATATTCTATATTCTATTCTATTCTTGTTCTACTCTTGTTATGTTTCTATTCTATTCTATTCTATTCTATTCTATTCTATTCTATTCTATTCTATTCTATTCTATTCTATTGCCATGGTGGCGCAGTGGTTAGAATGAAGTATTGCAGGCTAATTCTGCCCATAGCCAGCAGTTCAATCCAGATCTGCTCAAGGTTGACTCAGCCTTTCGTCCTTCCGAGGCCAGTAAAATGAGGACCCAGATTGTTGGGGGCAACAGGCTGACCCTGTAAACCGCTTAGGGCTGCAAAAGCACTATGAAGCGACATATTAGTCTTAAGTGTTATTGCTATTTTCGTACTTACGACCGTTGCTCCATCCCTGTAGTCACATGATCAAAATTTGGATGCTTGGCAACTGACATGCCGTTATGACAGTTGTACTTTCCCATGTGTGTGTGTGTGTGTGTGTGTGTGTGTGTGAGACATGATCACCATTTGCAAACTTCCTGCCCAGCTTCTGACAAGCCAAATGAATGTGGGGGAAGGGGAAGCATGATTCACTACAGTGATTGGCGTAACATCCGTGTCAAAAAAAAAAAAAAGTTGTAAAATGGAACAAAACCCCACTTAACAACTGCCTTGCTGAGCAGCGGAAATTTCAGACACAAATGACGGTCATAACTCAAGGACTCCGTGTGTCGTCCGTGAGACTCGACGCACAAGGATTCTCTTAACCCCAGTGACACCTTCCCATCGCACCCACCCACCCACCCCCTCCCCAGTCACCAGTTTGGAATTTAAAAAATGGAGTCCCCCTTTTTTTTTGCAGCTTTTGAACTTTTGAGCCAAAGATGGTCTAGGAATTGTTAACGGTGGGAATTTTCCCTCCCGCTTTCCCGCAGAGATCGACCCCTTCCCCAAGAAGGGCCGTGAGCTCATTTCATTTTCCCAGGGATTTTTCTTTTGCTTTTGTTTGGGATAGAGGGCTTCCCCCCCCCCTCTGCTTTGTCTCTGTCTTGCTTGTTTAAAATATTACTTATTCCCCCCCCCCCTTTTTTTTTTTTTTAAAAAAAAGAGGAGGCGATGCTTATTCCCAAGTCTGGTGTCTTTCCGGCGAGCTGTCCTGTCCGGCATCAAAGCGTTTCTTTGAAATCTCTTGAGCTTTAGGGAGGCCACGTTCTCCGCTTTGCAAAAAAATATTTCTCCTCCTCGGAGGCCTGATTTTCAAGGTGGCTTATATCATGCAGTTTTGGTCACCACAATGTAAAAAAGATGTTGAGACTCTGGAAAGAGTGCAGAGAAGAGCAACAAAGATGATTAGGGGACTGGAGGCTAAAACATATAAGGAACGGTTGCTGGAATTGGGTATGTCTAGTTTAATGAAGAGAAGGATGAGGGGGGACATGATAGCAGCGATCCAGTATCTCAGGGGCTGCCCCAAAGAAGAGGGAGTCAAGCTCTTCTCCATAACGTCTGAAGGCCGGACAAGAAGCAACGGATAGAAACTAACCAAGGAGAGAAGCAACCTAGAACTAAGGAGAAACTTCCGGACAGTTAGAACAATTAACCAGTGGAACAGCTTGCCACCAGAAATCATGGGCACTCCATCACTAGAGGTTTTTAAGAAGAGACTGGACAGCCATTTGTCAGAAATGGTATAGGGCAGTGGTGGCGAACCTATGGCACGTGTGCCAGAGGCGACATTCAGAGCCCTCTCTGGGGGCACATGCGCCATGCCCCGGAGATGGCAACCGTCCTCTTCAACCAGCCTTCCGCTAACTTGCTGAGGTCCCACGTGGTCGGATGAATCCCAGCATCCATGTGCTTGCTGGCTTCTGCGTGCCATTTGTCTGAAATGGTATAGGGTTTCCTGCCTGAGCAGGGGGTCGGACTAGATGACCTCCGAGGTCCCTTCCAACTTTATTATTACTACTATTATTATTATTATCGATCATCGCACAGTCAGCCAGATGTTCAGACTGGATTTGGCATTTTGTCTACCTATCGAGTCCTTACCCAGGACCTGGGATAGGCAGATGTAGATGTTTGATGGTATTACAGATCTCGTCGCAGGATGGAAGCAGTTCCTAGTAAGGCTGCCTTTTGCAATTGACTAATAGCGAATTTGTCAATGCCAATGGTGTTCAAGTGGTGCTCCAGTTGTTTTGGGATTGCACCCAAGGAGCCTATGACTATTGGTACTACCTTTGCTTGCTTTTGCCACAGTCTTTCTATTTCTATTTGTAGGTCTTTGTATTTTGTTATCTTCTCCAGTTCTTTCTCCTCTATTCTGCTATCTCCAGGCACTGCCACATAGCAGTTATTATTATTATTATTATTATTATTATTATTATTATTATCATCATCATCATCATCATCATCATCATCATCTTCCTCAAGTCTTAAGTGGGTTTCTTTCTCTCCCCCCTCCCCCCCTTTTCATTTCCACGCTTAGGAATCTCTCGCCGTGCACCGCCCCGATTTCATTTCCAGCTCCGGGGAACGTCTGAAGCGCCTCAGGCTGCTTGTGGAAGAAAGGAAGCTGCAGAGTGTGTTCCAGGGGGAGAGGGAAGAATTGTTTAATCCCCCCGAGGTGGTGACTTGTAGGAATGCAAGTCTTGCTAACCGAGGTACCCTCCTTCTACCCGTGAGCCGGGCTCCGAGACGCTTGCGATGTCGGTTTGCGGAAGAAATGAACGACTGTTGAGGAGGGGGAGCGGGGTTGGGGGCTGGCTGTCCTTTGGCAGCAGAAACGACGGGGGCTCCCCAAAACCCCGGTTGCTTCTGCTATAAGGGATCCTTGGTGGTCTCTGAGATGGGGGGGGGGTTTCATGCAGACGTTTCGTTGCCCAACTAGGGAACAACATCAGTGCTAGAAGGGAGTGGGGTTTGCAGGGAGGAGGAGGAGGAGAGGGAGGAGGAGGAGGAGAGGGAGGAGGAGGAGGAGGAACATCATCAGTGCTAAAAGGGAGTGGGGTTTGCAGGGAGGAGGATGAGGACTGTGGGATCCTTGGTACTCTCTGAGCTTGATAATTCTCTTACCGACCTTTCATGGCCCGACTAGGGAACAACATCAGTGCTAGAAGGGAGTGGGGTTTGTAGGGAGGAGGAGGAGGACTATGGGGTCCTTGGTGCTCTCTGAGCTGGGTGGTTTTCTTGCAGACATTTCATGACCCAACTAGGTAGCGCCATCAGCACTAGAAGGGAGGGGGTGAGGAGGAAGAGGAGGAGGGCTATAGGATCCTTGGTGCTCTCTGAGCTTGATAGTTTTTCTTACAGACATTTCATGACCCAACTAGGGAACATCATCAGTGCTAGAAGGGAGAGGGGTTTGTGGGGAGGAGGAGGAGGAGGAGGACGACAACAACAACAACAATGACTGTGGGGTCCTTGGTAGTCTCTGAGCTTGATAGTTTTTCTTACAGACGTTTCATGACCCAACTAGGGGACATCATCAGACGGGACGGTTCCACAGTGGGGATTGAAGCTTTGCCTTGGCTTCCAAAAGACACCCAAAGCTGTAGGTGGGGAAGCCCTGCTCCCCTCTTTTAGGGAAGCGCAGCCTCCTTCACCCCAAATCTTCCTTGCAAAGGGGGCGATTCTCCTAAAGTCCACCCTTTCAACGTCCTTCGGGGCTCATCTTACACTAAGGGTCTCCAAACCTGGCAACGTTTAAGACTTGTGGACTTCCAGTCCCAGAATTCCCCAGCCAGCACATATGAAGCTGAAGTCCACACAAGTCTTAAAAGTGGCCAAGTTTGGAGACCCCTGTCTTTCCCCGTCATCAAACCAGGATCGCGTTCCTGGTCCTCAGGTAGGATCGAAGGCGTGGAAGTCTGCTCTCTCCTCACCCCGTTGTGTCCTTTCTCTGTGTAGGCTACCGGGCGATTCGGAGCAGAGCGATTTCCAAGAATGAAATGGTGGAGCGGTCCAAACGGTAAGAGGGTTGTGTTTTTGTTTTTTTTTTTGGCCAGGGGGAGGAAAAAAAATGACTCTCTTTGGATTACATTCAGAAGCGATAATGGGTAAACATCATAAATAACAGGCGCTCGGTTCCTTCTGCATTCCTAATAAGGAAGCAACGGATTCCTATCAAGGCGTCCACGCTGGGAAAGGCTAAAACATATAAGGAACGGTTGCTGGAATTGGGTATGTCTAGTTTAAGGAAGAGAAGGACGAGGGGGGACAGGATAGCAGCCTTCTAGTATCTCAGGGGCTGCCCCAAAGAAGAGGGAGTCAAACTATTCTCCAAAGCCCCTGAAGGCAGGACAAGAAGCAACGGGTGGAAACTAACCCAGGAGAGAAGCAACCTAAAACTAAGGAGAAGCTTGCTGACAATTAGGACAATTAACCAGGGGAACTATCTGCCTCCTGAAGCTGTGAAAGCTCCAACACTGGAAGTTTTGAAGAAGAGACCGGAGAGCCATTTGTCCGAAATGGTATAGGGTTTCCTGCCAGAGCAGGGGGTTGGACTAGATGACCTCCAAGGTCCCTTCCAACTTTATTATTATTATTATTAATCGTTATATTGCTCTGCTTTTGACTTCCTCGCGGGTCCTAATTTAGCTGGGGTGACTGTTGGCCAGATTCTGCTCCAAATTGAGCCTGGGAACCATTTTGTATACAACAGGCAGTCCTCGACTTAACGGCCACAATTGAGCCCAGCATTTTCTGTTGCTAAGTGAGAGATTTGTTAAGTCAGTTTTGCCCCTGTTTACGACTTCTCTTGCCCCGTTTGTTGTTAAGGGAAGCACGACGGTTGATTTAAGCTAGTTACACGATTGTTATGTGAATCAGGCGTCCCACTTGACTTTGATTGTCAGAAGGTTGCAAAAGGGGATCACATGACTGTCATAAGTACGAGTTGGTTGCCAAGCTTCTGAATTTTGATCATGTGACCACGGGGACGCTGCGACGGTCATAAGTGTGAAAAACCGTTCAGATATTTAATTTAATAGCTGGAACAGTGAAGTGTACAGTATAATGAGCCAGAAGACACAGTTGTGGTTGATGGATTGGGGAATGCGGCCTTCTGCCTGAGGCAATCTACATTTTGATTGGTTGCTGGGTGAGAAAGGGGCGTTTCCCTTTTTTCCCGCCTTTTTTAAAATTCTGTGTGTTCTGTAGGCTGTTCTGCGATTTACCTGACAATTTACCTCATGATGTAGCAATGGGCCCTACTATCTTGCTTGTTGTATATATAGTTGTAAAATATATTTATTAATATAAAACTACAGGTAGTGCTCAAGTTGTGACCACAATTGAGCCCCAAATATCTGTTGTTAAGTGAAAAGCCGTTAAGATATTTAATTTAATAGCTGGAACAGTTAAATGTACAGTATAATGAGCCAGAAGAGATACTTGTGGTTGATTGATTGGGGAATGCGGGCTCCTGCCTGAGGCAATCTACATTATGATTGGTTGCTGGGTGAGAAAGGGGAGTTTCCCTTTCCCCCTGCCTTTTTAAAAATTCTGTGTGCTTTGTAGGCTGTTCTGCGTTTTACCAGACAATTTACCTCATGATGTAGCGATGGGCCCTACTATCTTCTTGTTGTATATATAGATATAGAATATATTTATTAATATAAAACCACAGGTAGTGCTCAAGTTGCGACCACAATTGAGCCCCAAATTTCTGTCGTTAAATGAGAATATTTGTTACGTGAGTTTTGCCCCATTTGACGACCTTTCTTGCCACAGTTGTTCAGTTAGTAACATGGTTGTTAAGTGAATCTGGCTTCCCCCGTTGATTTGGCTTCTCAAAAGGTCGCAAAAGGGGATCACGTGACCCCGGGACACTGCAACTGTCACAAATATGAGTCAGTTGCCAACTCTCTGTGTTTTGATCATGTGACCCTTGATGTGGTCGTGAGTGTGAAAAACTGGTCACTTTGAACCGCCACTAAATAAACTGTTGTAAGTTCTTCTCTCTGCGACTGTGGTGACGCGCAGACAACCCACACCTACATATACCTGCCCTTTGTGTCCCGATTAGTGCATACTTGAGGACCTCATGGCCGTGTTACAGAAGGCAATTAATGTTGCTCGTTTCTGGGCAAGATCTCTTTAATTTGCACAAATAGTATTTTAACCTGGTATTTTATATTTTAAAGTTTAAGTCATACGGCAGGGGCCTTCAAACTTGGCCCTTTAGTTGAAGCCAAAAAGTCATTAAAGGGCCAAGTTTGAAGACCCCTGATATAGACTTTAAGAGGAGTGGACTTCAACTCCCAGAATTCCTCAACCAGCGTGCCTGGCTGAGGAATTCTGGGAGTTGAAGCCCAAAAGTCATCAAAGGGCCAAGTTTGAAGACCCCTGATATAGACTTTTAAAAGGAGTGGACTTCAACTCCCAGAATTCCTCATCCAGCGTGCCTGGCTGAGGAATTCTGGGAGTTGAAGTCCACGAGTCATAAGAGGTCCAAGTTTGAAGACCCCTGATATAGACTTTAAGAGGAGTAGACTTCAACTCCCAGAATTCCTCAGCCAGGCACACAGCGTGCCTGGCTGAGGAATTCTGGGAGTTGAAGTCCACGAGTCATAAGAGGGCCAAGTTTGAAGACCCCTGATATAGACTTTAAGAGGAGTAGACTTCAACTCCCAGAATTCCTCAGCCAGGCACACAGCGTGCCTGGCTGAGGAATTCTGGGAGTTGAAGTCCACGAGTCATAAGAGGGCCAAGTTTGAAGACCCTGTCATACGGTATGCTTTATTTCAGTGGTTCTCAACCTTTTTAATGCCGCGACCCCCAACCAGTCGTAAGTCGAGGACTACTCAACCGGTCGTAAGTCGAGGACTACTCAACTGGTGCAGCACCGTTTGCAGAATGGGACTTTTGGCGGGCTCAGCAGGGCAGAGACAGCCTGGACAATTCCTATTGGCTTTTGAAAGCCAATAGAATTAGACTCTATTCAAGAGAGTCTATTCTATTGGCTTTCGAAAGCCAATAGAATAAAAGGGAGTAGCACAGCTAAGGAAAAGGGGGAAACAAAATGGCGGACTGCGTTGTTTGGCGACCCCCGTGAAATGGCCGTTCGACCCCAAATAGGGTCCCGACCCACAGGTGGAGAACCACTGCCTTATTTGAATCGTGATGCTTCTGACACAAACAAGCCAACTCGTATTTGCGGGTCTCCCCCCTCCCCGCCCTAAATATAAGCTGGCCGGGACTCGAGGTGGGACCGCTCCCTTGTAAACTGTCTTCTTGCTTTCTCTTCCCTCGTCCAGCATCTACGAACAGCTGCCTGAGGTGCGAAAAAGACGGGAAGAAGAGAAGAGAAAATCGGAATATTCCACCAACCGCTTGAAGGCCCAGCTTTACAAAACGGTGGACGCCCCTTTCTTTTCTTTCCCCCCCCCCTCCAGTCAAAAAGCCTGCGGGGTTCGGAAAGAGAGTCAGAAATGGATTCTGAGCATGCAAGGCAGGGGATAATGGAGTTTGGGGATGGGGGAAATAGCAACAGCACTTATATACCGCTTCACAGTGATCTACAGCTCTCTCCGAGCGGTTTATAGAGTCCTGACAATCTGGGTCCTCATTTTACAGACCTCGGAAGAATGGGAAGCTGAGTCAACCTTGAGCTGGTTGGGATCGAACTGCTGGCGGTGGGCAGAGTTAGCCTGCAATCCTGCATTCTAGCCACTGTGCCGCCAGGGCTCTTACAAGAGAAGGGAAGGGAAGGGAAGGAGAGAGAGAGAGAGAGAGAGGGAGGGAGGGAGGGAGGGAGAGAAAGAAAGAAAGAAAAAGAAAGAAAGAAAGAAAGAGAAAGAAAGAAAAAGAAGGAAGGAAGGGGAGGGAGGAGGAGGGAGGAAGAGGAGAGAGGGAGGAAAGAAGAGGGAGAGAAAAAGAGAAGGGAAAGAAGAGATAGAGGGAGCAGGAGATAAAGAAAAAAACGGAGAAAAAGAAAGGAAGGAAGGCGTGAGTAGAGGGAAGGAAAGGAATGGTAGAAAAGGCGTGAAGGAAGGAGAGCGGGAGAGAATAGCAATAGCCCTTAGACTTATATACCGCTTCACAGTGCTTTACAGCCCCCTCTAAGCAGTTTACAGAGTCAGCCTATTGCCCCCCCCCCCAACGATCCTGGCCCTCATTTTACCGACCTCTGAAGGACCGAAGGCCGAGTCGACCTTGATTGAGCCAGCCAGGATCGAACTGCTGGCAGTGGGCAGAGTCAGCCTGCAATATTGCCTTCTAACCATTGCACCCCACGGCTCAGGTTAAAGAGGGGTCCAGACCCTATAGGGCAGAAGGAGGTCTGGGTGATGATTGGACAGAAAAGTCAACCAAGAAGTAGCCATGTTACCTGATGTACAGCTATGTGACTCCAGCCTTTGCAGGTTGTCCTCCACTTACAACCAGCCCCTTAACGGTTTGAAGAGGTCTTGGAGTCCTAATAGACAATCACCTAAATATGAGCCAGCCGTGTGCTGCAGCTGCCAAAAAGGCCAACGCAGTGCTGGGCTGCATTAACAGAGGGAGAGAATCAAGATCACATGAAGTGTTAATACCACTTTTACAAGGCCTTGGTAAGGCCACTCTTGGAATACGGCATCCAGTTTTGGTCACCACGATGTAAAAAAGATGTTGAGACTCTAGAACAGTGGTTCTCAACCTTTTTAATGCCGCGACCCCCCCACTGGTCGTAAGTCGAGGACTACTCAACCGGTCGTAAGTCGAGGACTACTCAACGGGTGCAGCACCGTTTGCAGAATGGGACTTTTGGCGGGCTCAGCAGGGCAGAGACAGCCTGGACAATTCCTATTGGCTTTGGAAAGCCAATAGAATTAGACTCTATTCAAGAGAGTCTATTCTATTGGCTTTCAAAAGCCAATAGAATAAAAGGGAGTAGCACAGCTAAGGAAAAGGGAGGAAATGGCGGACTGCGTTGTTTGGTGACCCCCGTGAAATGGTCGTTCGACCCCAAATGGGGTCCCGACCCACAGGTGGAGAACCACTGCTCTAGAAATAGCACAGAGAAGAGCAACAAAGAGGATCAGGGGACTGGAGGCTAAAGTATATAAGGAAAGGCTGCTGGAATTGGGAATGTCCAGTTTAATGAAGAGAAGGACGAGGGGGGACAGGATAGCAGTCTTCCAGTATCTCAGGGGCTGCCCCAAAGAAGAGGGAGTCAAGCTCTTCTCCAAAGCCCCTGAAGGCAGGACAAGAAGCAACAGATGGGAACTAATCCAGGCGAGAAGCAACTTGGAATTAAGGAGAAACTTCCTGACAGTCAGAACAATTAACCAGTGGAACAACTTGCCACCAGAAGTTGTGGGAGGTGTTTAAGAAGAGATTGGACAGCCATTTCTCTGGATTGGTATACTATAGGGCAGTGTTTCCCAAACTTGACAATTTTAAGGCATGTGGACTTCAACTCCCAGAATTCCACAGCCAGCGTTGCTGGCTGTGGAATTCTGGGAGTTGAAGTCCTCATGCCTTAAAATTGTCAAGTTTGGGAAACACTGCTATAGGGTATCCTATAGATTTTCTGCTTGGGGGCCAGCCGTGAGCTCGTCGGCTTCCCCAGTCTTGAAGCGTGGACCGTCTTAAAACTGGAGCTCGTGGCCCTTGGCGGGCATAAAACAGGACAGAAATGTCACCTTCCCGGGAGAAAAACTGAGTTTAATCCTGACCCAAGGAAGGCGCATCGCCGTGCTTTTAAAAAAACAAGGAAGCTGCCGTTGTGCCTGAACCACTAGGGGGCAGCACAGCAAACCGGATGCAGGAGGGACACTGCAAGTTTTCTCCATGGGGATTTCTCCCTGCTTGTTTTTTTTGGGGGGGGGGGATAGAGGGGGCACAGTCTGAAGAACCTCCGGACTTGTTTTTTTTTTTTTTTTTTTTCCCAAGCAACTCTCAACCCTACGCAAAGGATACAGGTGGGCCTCGACTTACGACCGGTGGCTTAGCAACTGGTTCGAAGTTACGACGACAAATCTTCCCAGGGATACTTACGGCCCGGTTTCACAGTTCTGAAAGCTGACGAAGACCCACTGGAGCCCAGCCTGGGGGCTCGGCAACCGGCCCATATGGACGGCCGTTTGTAACCTCATAGAGCAGGGGTCTTCCAACTTGGCCCTTTGATGGCTTGTGGACTTCAACTCCCAGAATTCCTCAGCCAGGCACACAGGAATTCTGGGAGTTGAAGTCCACAAGTCATCAAAGGGCCAAGTTGGAAGACCCCTGTCGTAGAGTCATGTGCCGAAACTTTAAATCTCTCTCTTTCTCTTCTCTCTCTCTCTCTCCTTCCTTTTCACTCTTTCTTTCCCTCCTTCTTTCCCTTTCTTTTCTTTCTCCTTTCTTTCTCTTCTCTCTTTCTTTCCGTCCGTCCGTTCTTCCTTCCTTTTTCTTTCTCTCCATTTCTTTCTTTCTTTTTCTCTCTTCCTTCCTTCTGTTCACTTTCTTTCTGTCTTTTCTCTCCCCCCTCTTTCTTTCTCTTTCCCTCCATTTCTTTCTTTTTCTCTCTTCTTTCCTTCTTTCTCTTCACTCTTTCTGTCTTTTCTCTCTTCTTTCTTTCTTTCTTTTTCTCTCTCTCTTCCTTCTCTTCACTCTTTCTGTCTTTTCTCTCCCCCCTCTCTCTTCTCTCTCTTTCTCTCTCTTTCCCTCCATTTCTTTCTTTTTCTCTCTTCTTTCCTTCTTTCTCTTCACTCTTTCTGTCTTTTCTCTCTTCTCTTTCTTTCTTTCTTTCTTTTTCTCTCTTCCTTTCTTCACTCTTTCTTTCTGTCTTTTCTCTTCCCCCTCTCTTCTCTCTCTCTTTCTTTCTCTCTCTCTTTCCCTCCATTTCTTTCTTTTTCTCTCTTCTTTCCTTCTTTCTCTTCACTCTCTTTCTGTCTTTTCTCTTCTTTCTTTCTTTCTTTCTTTCTTTCTTTCTTTCTTTCTTTCTTTCTTCTTTCCTTTCTCTCCTCTCTCTCTCACACACATACACATACACACAGCCCTGGCCTTGTAACCCTTCCCAAGGGAAAGCAAGTTCAGTACTAGTTGGGTTTTCCTCTACCTGACTCCCCCCCCCCAAAATCACTTGCCATTTTTTCAAGGATCTCCTCTTCTTCCTCTCTCCCCCCCCCCCCAATTAATCTGGACCCCTCCATCCTTGAGGGAAGGGCCAAAGAGACGAGAAGGAGTGAAGGGGCTTACTCCGACGGAGGGGTGTTCCTTGCCTTTACAAATCTGTTCTTCTCTTTCCCAACAGAAAATCACCAATCGTGTCTTGGGAAGAAAAGTCCCTTGGGAATGACGGGGAAAGGAAAAAAAAAACAAACCCCGAGCAACATCCCTCTTTAATAAACCTTATCGCACGAAGTAGGGTTTTTTTAACCTCTTTTTTTAAACTTTTTTTTTTTTAAATTATGAACTTGTGCCTCTACTATAGACAACTCAGGCAGTTTTCCCCTTAGATTTCCTGGCCTTAATTGGGGTTCAGGGGTGCCCCTTTTCCAGTCCCCAGCCATCTCTACCCTGGCGTTTTCGATCGTAATTGAAGATGTGTGTTTTTGTTTTTTTTTTAAAATCAACAAACGAGGAATTTTTTTTTTTTTTCATATTCTGCCTACGTTCTCGCGGATCACGGCTTTGTTACCACTAACTTATCAACAGCACATTAAATTGGCGGTTTTGTGTGTGAAAGCAGCTTTTGTTATTTATATATACATATCTATAAATTTTATATATATATATATATATATATAAGACCCTCCCATTGAATATAAAATGAGGAAGGGGCTAGAGTTGCATATGGACAGCCAGTGTCTGGACTCTTTCAATAGCTTGGCTGGCTGGGGAATTCTGGGAATGGAAGTCCACCCATCTTAAAAGTTGCTAAGGTTGAAAAAACACACACTGCCTTACGAGATTTAGAGCTGGCCAGGCTAGAATAGGCAGTTGTGAGACAGTCTCACAGACCAACACCATACATACCCACATGTGCGGGGTACACAACAGTGTTTTCCTTCCCCAGTAGCCCAGCTGCTACTTCTGTGTGTTGCTCTGCGTCCTTTCCTTCCTTCCTTCCTTCTCTTTCCTTCCTTCTTTCCTTCCTTCTTTCCTTCCTTCTTTTTCCTTCCTTCCTTCTCTTTCCTTCCTTCCTTCTCTTTCCTTCCTTCTTTCCTTCTTTCCTTCCTTCCTTCCTTCTCCTTCCTTCCTTCCTTCCTTCCTTCTTTTTCCTTCCTTCCTTCCTTCTCTTTCCTTCTTTTTCCTTCCTTCCTTCTCTTTCCTTCCTTCCTTCCTTCTCCTTCCTTCCTTCCTTCTTTTTCCTTCCTTCTTTCCTTCCTTCTCTTTCCTTCCTTCCTTCTCTTTCCTTCCTTCTTTCCTTCCTTCTTTCCTTCTTTTTCCTTCCTTCCTTCTCTTTCCTTCCTTCTTTCCTTCCTTCCTTCTTTCCTTCCTTCCTTCCTTCTTTTTCCTTCTCTTTCCTTCTTTTTCCTTCCTTCTCTTTCCTTCCTTCCTTCCTTCTCTTTCCTTCCTTCCTTCCTCTTTCCTTCCTTCCTTCCTTCTCCTTCCTTCCTTCCTTCTTTTTCCTTCCTTCCTTCTCCTTCCTTCCTTCCCTTTCCTTCCTTCCTTCCTTCCTCTTTCCTTCCTTCTTTCCTTCCTTCTCCTTCCTTCCTTCCTTCCTTCCTTCCTTCCTTCTCTTTCCTTCCTTCCTTCCTTCTCTTTCCTTCCTTCCTTCTCTTTCCTTCCTTCCTTCCTTCCTTCCTTCTCCTTCCTTCCTTCTCTTTCCTTCCTTCCTTCCTTCCTTCTCTTTCCTTCCTTCCTTCCTTCCTTCCTTCCTTCTCCTTCCTTCTTTTTCCTTCCTTCCTTCCTTCTCCTTCCTTCCTTCCTTCCCTTTCCTTCCTTCCTTCCTCTTTCCTTCCTTCCTTCCTTCTCTTTCCTTCCTTCTTTCCTTCCTTCTTTTTCCTTCTTTCCTTCTCTTTCCTTCCTTCCTTCTCTTTCCTTCCTTCTTTCCTTCCTTCCTTCTTTCCTTCCTTCCTTCCTTCTCCTTCCTTCCTTCCTTCTTTTTCCTTCCTTCCTTCCTTCCTTCCTTCTCTTTCCTTTTTCCTTCCTTCCTTCTCTTTCCTTCCTTCCTTCCTTCTCCTTCCTTCCTTCCTTCCTTCCCTCCTTCCTTCCTTCTTTTTCCTTCCTTCCTTCCTTCCTTCCTTCCTTCCTTCCTTCTCCTTCCTTCCTTCTCCTTCCTTCCTTCCTTCCTCTTTCCTTCCTTCCTTCCTTCCTTCTTCTTTCTTCCTTCCTTCCTTTCCTTCTCTTTCCTCCTTCCTTTCCTTCTCTTTACTTCCTTCCTTCCTCTCCTTCCTTCTTTTTCCTTCCTTCCTTCCTTCTCCTTCCTTCCTTCCTTCCCTCCTTCCTTCCTTCTTTTTCCTTCCTTCCTTCCTTCCTTCCTTCCTTCCTTCCTTCTCTTTCCTTCCTTCCTTCTCTTTTCTTCCTTCCTTCCTTCCTTCTCTTTCCTTCCTTCTTTCCTTCCTTCTTTTTCCTTCCTTCCTTCTCTTTCCTTCCTTCCTTCTTTCCTTCCTTCCTTCTCCTTCCTTCCTTCCTTCCTTCCTTCTTTTTCCTTCCTTCCTTCCTTCCTTCTCTTTCCTTCTTTTTCCTTCCTTCCTTCTTTCCTTCCTTCCTTCCTCTTTCCTTCCTTCCTTCCTTCCTTCCTTCCTTCCTTCCTTCCTTCCTTCCTTCCTTCCTTCCTTTTTCCTTCCTTCCTTCCTTCCTTCCTCCTTCCTTCCCTTTCCTTCCTTCCTTCCTCTTTCCTTCCTTCCTTCCTTCTTTCTCCTTCCTTCCTTCCTTTCCTTCCTTCCTTTCCTCTCCTTCCTTCCTTCTCTTTCCTTCCTTCCTTCTCTTTTTCCTTCCTTCCTTCCTTCCTTTCCTTCTCTTTCCTTCCTTCCTTCCTTCTCCTTCCTTCTTTTTCCTTCCTTCCTTCTCCTTCCTTCCCTTTCCTTCCTTCCTTCCTTCCTCTTTCCTCCCTTCCTTCCTTCTCTTTCCTTCCTTCCTTCCTTCCTTCCCTTTCCTTCCTTCCTTCTCTTTCCTTCCTTCCTTCTCTTTCCTTCCTTCCTTCCTTCTCCTTCCTTCCTTCTCCTTCCTTCCTTCCTTCTCTTTCCTTCCTTCCTTCCTTCCTTCCTTCCTTCCTTCCTTCTTCCTTCCTTCCTTCCTTCCTTCCTTCCTTCCTCTTTCCTTTCCTTCCTTCCTTCTCTTTCCTTCCTTTCCTTCCCTTCCTTCCTTCTCTTTCCTTCCTTCCTTCCTTCTTCCTTTTCCTTTCTTTCTTCCTTCCTTCCTTCCTTCCTTCTCCTTCTTCCTTCTCTTTCCTTCCTTCCTTCCTTCTCTTTCCTTCCTTCTTCTTCCTTCCTTCTCCTTCCTTCTTTTCCTTCCTTCCTTCCTTCTCCTTCCTCCCTTTCCTTCCTTCCTTCCTCTTTCCTTCCTTCCTTCCTTCCTTCTCTTTTCCTTCCTTCCTTCCTTCCTTTCCTTCCTTCCTTCCTTCTCTTTCCTTCCTTCTTTCCTTCCTTCTTTTTCCTTCCTTCCTTCCTTCTCCTTCCTTCCTTCCTTCCTTCCTTCCCTTTCCTTCCTTCCTTCCTTCCTTCCTTCCTCTTTCCTTCCTTCCTTCCTTCCTTCTCTTTCCTTCCTTCCTTCTTACCTTCCTTCCCTCCCTCCCTCCCTCCCTCCTTCCCTCCCTGCCATCTCTGTTCTTTATTTTTTGCTGTCTGGTTGCAATTCTGCAAGCCGGCTGTTCTTTGAGTCATACAGGGTGTTCCCCCCCCCCTAGAAACCTGAACAGCGGCCAAAGACAGCTGTGTCGCTTTGCACACACCCGGCGTTGCCGAAACAGCTCAGATCCCTCCAGCCAGACAGAATCCCAAATTAGCCAGGGCAGTGCCATGTCAGCAAAACACGAGAAGGGTGTGGATTTGAACCAGGGAAGAACGAGCCTCTGGGTCGGTGTAGGAAGCAGTCCTCAACTTACGACCGCTATTTATGTTGCTAAGTGAGACATTTGTTAAGTGAATTTTGCTCCATTTTATACCCTTTCTCGCCTAAGTGAATGCAGCTTTTCGTTGGTCTGAAGGTCGCAAAAGGGGATCGCGTGATTTCTCAGGACGCTGCGACCGTCGTAAATACGTGTCAGTTTGCCCAAGCGTCTGAATTTTGATCACGGGACCACGACGGTCATAAGTGTGACTGATGGTGGTAAATCCCCTTTTTCCAAGCTGTTGTCATTTTGAGAGATCACTAAATGAAGCGTTGTGATTTGTTTAGCGACCGAAGTTGCAACAGCACTGAAAAAATGGGACTTGTGAGGTCTTTCACACACAGGACCGTTGCAGCATCCCCGCAGTCCCGTGACTAATTGGACAGAGGCGGCGATTCACGTAACAACTGTGGCAAGAAAAGTCGTAAAATGGGGTAAAACTCACTTGAAACATGTCTCGCTTAGCGACATCAATTTGGGGCTCAGTTGTGGTCGTAAGCTGAGGACCGCTTGCCTTCCCTTCATCTTATCCTGCAGCGCCTCCCTTAACAGCCGTTCCACGAAAGTTGATAAACATGGGACAAAATTCCCTTAACAAGTTGTCTCACTTAGTGACAGAAACTTGGGGCTCGGTTGTCATCGTAAGTCGAGGACTGCACGTTGCTGGAACATGTACGTGCCTTCTACCGTAAGAACCGAGCACCTGCATTTCATTGCCACTGTCTGTTTTACGCCAACGCCCGCAGAATCCGCCCCGGCTGGCATGTCAAAAGCTGCCTTTTGCTTGTTGGAAAAAGAGCAGAATCCTGGTTTGACGGACGGTAAACCTGGTTAGATCAAAGCTGAGCCCTTGAAGAACCGTAAACGCTGCAACTTCAAAGGGGAAATCTCTCTGGGCTAACCGGTCAGATGCCTGCAGCGAGAGATGATTCATATCCTTTTTTTAAAAAAAATAAATAAATCTGAAAAAAAATCGAGACGTTCCTTTGCTTTTTCAGCCACGTCAAGTTGGAAAGTTTTCTTGCTGATCAGTGTGTTTGCAAAAAAAAACCAGGAGAGCAGCTGAACACTGGACTGTTGCATTCCCATGTGCTCCCTCGCCTGCCAGGTGCTTTTCACCCCAAAAAAGCTTCCTTTAAAAAAAAAAAACCTTTTCAAAGAGGTTCAGCTCTGAAGCGGACTCTCTGAATTCTTTAATTCTTTACTCTAGTTTTAAAAATTTGCAGCTATAAAAGCAGGACTTTTTTAAAGGTTATCAGGAGCTCATTAACCACATTCCCTAGTTTAACCCTTGATGCTTCCGTGCCTCTCTGGGTTAAATACAGGTAGTTTTTTTGACTTACAACCCGTGGTGGGATTCAGATATGTGAATAGCCGGTTCTCTGTGTGGGATGCCGCTTCTGGAAGTGGGTTCTGGGCTTGGGCAACAAAAAAAATTAGCTACGATTCTGCTGGAGTGGTGCGAACTGGCTGAACCCACCGATGGATGGATGGATGGATGGATAGATAGATAGATAGACAGACAGACAGATGATAGGGATAATACATACAGATGAAAGATACAGATATAGATAGATAGATAGATAGATAGATAGATAGATAGATAGATAGATAGATAGATAGATAGATAATGGATAGATATAGACAGACAGACATGATAGAGATAATACTTAGATGAAAGTTAGAGATA